TTTTTTTTTTTTTTTTTTTTTTTTTTTTTTTTTTTTTTCCCCTCGTATGGGCTTGGATAACTTCGTCTTTGTTCACCTTTTTTTGCCTCTTTTTGCCTTTTTTTGAAACAAATGCAGACTGTCGTCTCCTCATTGGGAGGGAAGCTGCATTTACTATTCTATTTTCTTCTCTCATGATTTTTTTAACCTCACACTACCTGATATACCTCTAAGCCAAGGAGACAGTCCTAAGGGTTATGGGTCTACTGGACGCTACCTAATTGCAGAGGTTGTTCGTCCCATCTAGTCCAGTCGTTACATGTACCTTAAATATACTAACCTGGGATTGACTATCCTAAGTTTATGGGTCTATACCTACCCAGCTCTGCTCCGTGCAGGGAGCAGCATCCAACCTCATAACTCCTGGTGTGAGTCCTAATCAACTTCCACGACCAGCCAGGGGGGACTCTAGGTCGGTGTACCGGTGGTTTAACACTAGGCATGCCGGTGTAAAGGGAGCTTCCCGCCAAATGTTTTTCTAGCCCATGTATGTCCAACCCGAACGAGAGGCAGGTTTGGGCATAAGCCCATTTAGCGGCCCCAATTTTTCTCTTTGTCATGGAAGCAGTAGTGCTTGCGCCCCCTAGTTGGTCGTGGCAGGAGAGTTCTCCTTCCATCCATGGCTAGGGGATAGGTTCGACCCTGAGGGGATAGGCCCAGCCCTGAGGGGATAGAATCAACCTAGGCTAGTAGAAGATAGATAGGCAGCTGAAGTCTGTCCGGAGACCCATAACCCTTGGTGTGCTATGCTTTTGGTACATAGATAAGGATCGCTGCGATACTATCGAGGCGGGTGGATAAAGTGCGGTGGGTACGTAGCTAGTGGGAGGTGACAAAAATATTGTATTGAGGAAGAGAATAGTGTAACAATTACAGCTATCCCGATATGAGGAAGACAGCTTCAAGAAGGAAAAAAAAAAAAAAAAAAAAAAGTGGCAGTCTTTTTCTTAGAAAAGATCAATCCATAGAAAGGTTAGACAACACCACCTCCACCTACCCACAACAATTTCACTTGCGGACGACCCAACAGTACTCATTAGAATCTTCAACTCATCCTTCCAATCACTGACGAGAAGAATGCGAGCCTTCCAACTGGCCTCGGAAATGAAAGTAAACTGGTCACAGACAGTAGGATGGTGGATATCAGACAGCCCTACACCAATGGAGATAACTCCAGAAGGAATGCAATAGCCAGACCCCAGCGCTCCAAAGTAGATTTCAATGGATCAGGATAAGCACCTAAGGAAGCCACCCATCCTCAGCAGCTACACTCCTAACAGCCTTGCTCAAATATCACCGGCGGGGTTGGTTTAAAAAAAAAAAAGAAAAAAAAAAAGGGTGCATAGTTGGCAAGGCATTCACACATCAATCATATAGGAAGAGCTCTAGCCCTCAGTATCTCCATATTAGCAATGACGCGGTAGGTAACAAGTACTAACAACCATACGGTTCCCAACTACAGGCTTCCTAAAGCAAATTAGGAAAAGAGCAGCAGCTTTCCTTTGGACTGGGAAACTAGACAGAACCCACTTCATTCATAGAGTAGCCCGGCAAATAGTCACCTGACCTAAAAGCAAAGGAGGCCTAGGAATGCTAGCTAGACGCGGCCTGAAAAAGACAAGCCCTACAGCTAAAATGGATAATCAGACACTCCAAAGAAACCTCCGTTGGGAACGATGTTGCCCTCAACCAAATACGCGCTCGTCCCCTTCAGATCACCCCCCAACTTGACAGGACTATACTGAGTTTTCAGCGGACACTGGACACTGCCAAGAGACAAGAATACAAGCGAGGATGAGAGTCATGAAGAAGAGGACGATGGAAGAGTGAAATTAGATTGAGTGTTTGGATGATGCGGGTATAGCTCAGCTGGTAGAGCGCCGCTCTTGCAAGTGTGTCCAGAATGTCCAGATTTTGAGGATATTCAGTAATGAGTGACATTTATAGCTTGTTGTCTCAATTAGCGTCTTACCTCAAAGCAGAACAATTGAGGGGGAAAAAAAAAAAAAAAAACCCAAAAAGAACAATTGAGGGGAAACGACACACAAGTAAACCCTTCAGGGAGGCACTCATCCATTCCGGGAGGAAAATTTCCCCCAAAACAGAATAGGACCTAAACGAAGGGATGACGTGCTAAGCCAACCATTATTTGGCAACCCCTGGATCAAGCATGGAAAAGGAAAACCCATCTCACTTTCCACGAAAGACACAAAGTGGGCAATGGGCTAGAAAAGGCTATCTGGCAGTTACCGCATATCGGGAATGACAGAAGGAACGATTGGAAGTCCGAAAAGGAATGCTTTTCGTTTCTAGTGTACGCACTGTACGGCTAGCAGGACTCGAACCCACAAGGATTGAAGCACCGCCACATCCTAAGTGTGGAACAGTGCTCGATAGGAGACACAGCCAACCGACAAGGTGATCTGAGGCAGGTGCCTGTGTTGGGGGCAACTGCTCTGCAGCAGGGATGGACTGAGTTTGCAGGTTGATCTCTACAGGATGCAGATCTTCAACCTTAAAATCTATTGAGGTTGCTGCATTTGAACTGCCCCTGCGGTAACTTGCCAGAGGCGCGTGGGCTCTCCATCACATGGCTGCAATGAGGGAGGGAGCTGTGCCAAGTTGGCATGGTTGTAAGGAGCAAATCGCATAAGAAGGGTTAGCGTAGTGTGGATAATCCACACAATGAAGGCACATGCTATTCAGAAGAGCTTTGTGGAAGCTCCACTTCACATCAACTGCTGCCCGATAGGCCAGAAAGAACATAGGGTGGATGGTGACCGTTATTCGTTGCATATAACAGACGAAGGCCATGCCAACACCAAGGGCAGATAATGACTGAATGAGGGGGACATAGGGCCTCACTCCACTACACAACGCTCTACATGCATTTTGGCGCTCTCTGGACCAGGTGCATCCGGATGAATGAGTTCAACATTTTGATCGTATCGGGTTCAGAAAGCGTCCAAATGCACGTAGAGTGTTGTGTAGTGGAGTGAGGCCATAGTCATGTTGATGGAGAATCACTGCAGCCTTCAGCACAGAAGGTGGCAAACATAGAGCCCAGATTTCAGAAGACCAAAGTTCCCTGTCATTGTCATTCCAGTTAGGCCAGCAGGCACCACTTGTGTCTTCTTGGGATCGCATATGGCAACTTGCCAACAAGTGGCAGCAAGAAAGAACCCAGCCTTCGACAGATGGAACCGTCCTGAAGACCAGGTCTTCTCTTCTAACTGGTTATGAACTAGTTCAGAGGACACGGAGAAACGTCTGACAAAGAGAGCGAGGGCAGGCACCTAATTCACCTCTGTCATTAGAGGGGCACAAGTTAAACATCACAACAACCTCGGCAACAACGGTTGCATATGCATCATCTGGGTGAGAGAGAGCTCGAACCCCCAGAGGGATCACCATTCTTTACTATATATTTGCTAGGCTAGAAAGATCTCAAAAACCTCAACCGAGAAACAGGACTTCACCTGACTGCACACATCAACTGTTACACCGATAATCTTTCAGGCTTCATCAGATAGCCAGAGACGGGTACACAATACTACACATCCTTAAGGGGAAATCAGTGCCCCCTATCCAATGGGAAAACATCAACAAGCATGTGCCCTGATCCATGTGAAAAGACTTATAGGCACATAGGTAGCAGTGCACAGACGCAGACGCAGTGGAAGATCCAGCTAAGTAAGACATAGCTGAACACATGGCAGGAACATATACCTCCTCATTCAGCTTTGGCTCCATTGATGTTCTCCACTTCTCTTCAAACTGCTCAGACAGGGTTCTTGCCATAATATACACGTCGGTGCCCTCTTGATTGTAGGTCATTGCGTTTGCGAAAACGAGACGTATATCATCACAAATCTGTTGAGGATGTTTATACCTGGTCGAAACTAACAGATTTTCCATGCACAACAGAAACAGTTAGGAATTCTACCACACACTAGGCCTGCCATAATACCGACAGAATCTATGAGACTGATCTTTCCCTGTCATGATCAGAGAGCAACCCATATTGAAAGAATGACTACTTCAGAACGTAGTAGAGGCAGAGTCAAACAATTGCAGTGGCTCTTTTTTTTTTCTTTTTTCTTTTTGAAAAAACAGAACCTTGCAGTGGCTTTATCACTGGTAATTTCTAAACAGCACTTGCGCAGGTGATGGTATCCAAATTCCTTGAACATTGAAGAGCTTGTGCACCAGTTTGGGCGTCAACTGCTGGCTGTACACTTTCCACGTGTAAGAAATCACTGCACTGCCTTTCAGGAATGTTCTTTGGGTGCGCGCCTGTTTTTTGGGGTTGGCCTTAGTAGTTGGGCGGGAATTTTTTTTTGGGTTCACAGTTTCACAAGGTTTTTCGTTTTGTTTCAGGTTTTCAGAAGGCAAGAGCTTGAGCCATCTGCACTGCGATTTGTCTACTTCCCGACTTTCGCGTTGCGGCCACTGTGTTGTCCTGCGTTCGTGTTTGTCCCGACGTTGCCAACTGCACGTTCTTTTCAGTTTCACAAGGCACGAGCTCGAGCCATCTGCGCTGCGATTTGTCTCTACTTACCGACTTTCACATTGCGGCCATTGTGCTGTCCTGTGTTCGTCTTTGTCCCGATGTTTCCGTTTTGCGCAGTCACTTTTTGCTGCGATGGGGCGGTTCATCGAAGCTAGCTGCATTCGAACAGAACGACGGGGTTTGCCCGATTACAAGTTCACACCTGTTGGTAAACAGGCGATGAGATTTAGGGTCTCGCTGCACTACTCTCCACTGTCCGGAAATTCGGATAGTAGGCGGAGAGTTGTCAAAATCTCCGAAAGTGGTTTAAGTTTTGAATTGGTTGGTTACAGAGGCAGAAGAGCGCGTAGCGCCGAACCGGTTAGCGCTACACTGGCATGACCAATACAGATTGCGATGACGCATACATAGCTGCCATCGCGCGGCTTCGTCACGTGGCATCACCATCACGGACTGAGACAACGCATCCATAGCGGCCATTGTGCAGCCTCGTCGCGTAGCATTACCATCAATGACTGCGACGAGACATCCATAGCCGCCATCGTGCGGCTTCGTTGCGTGGCACCACCATCACTGACTGCGACTTCGCATCCATAGCCGCCATTGCGCGACTTCGTTGCGAGGCATCACCATCACCGACTGTGACGAGGTTATCCATAGACGCCATCGTGCGGCTTTGTTGCATGCCATCACCATCTCTGACCGCTACGACGCATCCACAACTGCCATCGCGTGACTTCGTCAACTGGCTCCATTGAAGACAGTGAGCTTCCCAGACCCGCGGTGCGCAGCACTGCTGAGTACCATCGGTGGAGGAAAGGCGATATGAGGGAGTGCGCTACCATCATTACAATTGACTGAGACGAAGAGGCTATAGGCGACAATGCGAGGCATAGTTGAGTGACACTCGACCGAGACGTGATTACCATAGTTCTCATCGTCATCAGCGGTAGCGAATGAGACACGTGAAAGGGGCTCTAACGGAGAACATCGAGGACAACATTCGAAAGGTTTGTCCTATGTGGAAGCACAACAAGGCTGTACTCGTTCATCTCATCACGCGGCGTCACCTCGTCAACGAAGAGAGACACGCGAAAATAGGATGCCGTTAAGAGGGAATAACACCGAGGGGACATACTACGGTACATCCACGATTGATTCAGCCCACGGGAAAAGTACAACGATGCTCAACTTCCTCTCTTCACAGCGTTGTGCCATCACGCAGAGACACGTGGATCCTCCGACAACAAAATCGCAGAAATTGCAGAAGTCGTGTATCATCAACAAGAGCGACAAGAGAAGAACGCAGGATCAATTAGGGTAGATTCAGGGTAGATTCGGGGGAAAAAAAAACTACAGAGGGGGGTACGACGAAAACACGAGACGGGGATCGTGAGGCAGGTTGTAAGCTGGGTGTCAACAGGGAATCTCGAAACAGGGAGTGCAGCTTCGAGACTTCGTGCTTTTATGAAAAACACACTGTGCTTTTCAACTTTTCGCATAAAAGCAAGGAGCTCTCATAAAAGGGTGTGGGTGCTGGACCGCCTCAGAGCTCTTCAAACTTTGCCAGAGATGGAACCAGACATATACCTCCATAAGAGGGGGAGGAACACGGTCATGGTGTTATGCGTAGAGGAGAGCTATGCCAAGTACATTAAATCTCTTGATTCCCTCAACTGCAAGGGGTCAGTGGTCACCATCAGAGCATGGAAACCCCCAAGAACACCGCAGGGTGAGGCAACCAGACAGATAGAACATGCTGCGAGAGCACTTTTGGGTTCAATTTGACAACCTCTCGGAGGGCCCCCACAGCATGATCAACAAATGCCTGGACACTGAGTACCCCAATAACCCGGTGGTCACATGGCTTAAAGCAGGCCTGGAGTTCCTGGCCCCTAACCACGACTCCAAGATAGCATGTTTGAGCGTTCCATCAGGGGAACCTCCGGTGTTCCCGGAGGTCTGGCTCTTCCGGAAAAACGGACAAAGTGCAACAGTCTTTGTATCCACAAAGACCAACCCGGCATGCTTCCGCTGCAGAGGGAGATGGCACCTTGGGAATGACCCCAACTGCCCGGCGAACCAGTAAGTGGGAAGACGTCAGGCTCCCAACCAAACACAACTGGTTGAGTGTGTAGATAAACCAGGAGTGTGGTAAGTGGACCGGCCGGAGTTCAGAGGATGGATCTTCGCTGACAACCTGCAAACACCGAGATGGGTATGGACCCTGTCTGAAACTCCGACGGTGAAACCTAACATCTATCCTCCCTATGACAGCAGATGGAGAGAGACAGGGGCGAGGAGAATGGAGGAGGAGGGGATTGGTCTCCTCGCCAAGCCGATTACAAGCAAGGATGCCATGGAGGAAGTCAGACAAAAACTACAAACAATGGTGGAACTGGCAAAAATAGGAGAGGCGGCTGAAAAGGTTTTTAATGACCTCAGAAAGATGGACAAAAATAAGAGGAAAAGAGCGGGATCTGCTAGGGATACAAGGGAAGCACACTCAGAAGAGGCAATGGAAATAGAAAAACAAGGCACATATGGAAGTGAGGGCCGAAAGAAGAAAACAGCAGGGGATGACGTGCCCACCGTGCACACCCAGGAAGCAGATGCATACCAGACGGATGAGGACCAAGGTAAGGAAGGAGTCACACAGGAAGACATTGACTGGCTACAACAAGCTGTTACCGACCTCGATCGTCTGCGACAACGGGAATTCAAGTTACAACTGGCACACCAGCGCTGCACCCGGAAGGTACACCAGGCGGGGGCAAGAGCTACCAAACCTCAGACCGCTACTTTGACCAGTAACAAATTTGCGGCACTGCACGAGGAGAGTGAAATGTCAGAATTTGTGGCCCATCAATAAACCCTCAAAACCAGGGTTGAGGAAGACTCTCCATGTTGACAACCCCGAGTACGCCAGGCAATTCCATTGGCCTGACACATACACATACAAAGCGGAACATCCCAACAAATCCGAGTGAGGGAAAAAAGCCTCGGAGAAGAAAGAGGGCGAGATACAAACGTCGGTGGAATTGAAGGCACAAACTCAGCCAGGCACGACTGCAGACCTGCGCCGAAGAAAAGCCATAATGGAAGCTGAGGTCGCCACTCTCACAACCAGAAACGAAGACGTCGCTGCCAAACACACCTCGTTGCAGAAGATACCAGAAGAGCAGACAGACGCTATAGACACAGCAGCCAGGGTGGATGCCAGGAAATCGGACCACAAAAGAGTCCTCATCCCATGCCGCTGGAACATAGCACATATAAAGACTGGGAAGTCGCCGTACACACAACAGGAACGCTGGTCACGGCCGCAGAGCAGTCTCTGCGTGATGGTTCCCTGACCATGCAATTCAAGGATGCACTCACTCCGCTCTTTACCCTGGGAGGAGAACAAGGCAATATGGAGAAATGGAAGGACGCAGACGACCAGCAGCACACAGTCAACCTGAGGCCAGGGTGTCAGACAAAGTGGCCTTGAAAGAGGACCTGGAATGGGTACCATGGCAGGTGGTGGAATCAAGTCCGTACGGGTTGATGGGACACGGAATGGCCCCAAAACGGGCGACTCTGGCAGTGGCACTGGTGACCAGGCACAGACTGTTCTTGGCGAACGTGGGGGGTTGAGGCAAGAAAATTAACACGCTGGCAAGGAAGAAAGAGGCATTCTACATGAAGCGTTAGAAAGATAACCGAGACAGATAACTAAAAAAGTGGTTTTCTAGACGACCATGGACATCCAGGCAGACCCGCTGCCTCACGGAGCAACCTTGCTAGCACCGGACCTGCGGGCCGTCTCATGGAATGTCAATGGTCTAGCCACTGTTCTCCAAAATCAGCAAAAATGGAGCAATATCACGGATGTTGTGGGCTGGTATGAGAGAAGCCCACCAGACATACTCTGCCTACAGGAAACACATTTAACCGAATCACCGGAGCACAAACAAGTACAAAAGGAGATATGTTGCCGTCTTCGCTGGGTTCATTTTGCCCTATGGGCCCCGACTCCGACGCAGGATCAGCGGGCACAGTCATCCTCGTACACGCTAACATAGAGGCAGCGCAAGGCATAACCATAGAGACAACGCAGTCAGATCAAAGTGGCGGGAGATGGGCGAGACTGAACTTTCATTTCAAATAGGAGCACTTCCGCCTGCTCTCAATCTACGGTCCAAATACCGGTCAGCACAAAGCAAAATTCGTCAATTCTCTATTACCACTTTGTACCACCCCGACGCACCTAATGCTAGCAGGAGACTAGAATGCCACACTGGATCCGACCATGGACAGGATGTCAGGAGGCGCTGCTGGTATAGACGGAATTGAATGGGAGGAGGCGACCCCTATATATAACCTCATGATGGAAC